TTGAGCCCAATATTGAAATTAGGTGGAATGTGTATGACCATGTGGATGTGATTACCACAGATGATAGCAGGGGCAAAATATTGAGTCCCGAGGAGTATGACCACATTACTGATTTCAAACAAACTCGCCCAGGAAATGGTTTTCTCAGACAAAAAGTCAAGTAGAATTTGTAGGGTGGGAAAATTGGTCAGGAGACAGTAGAAGGGTGGAATCTGCAGGGTGAGGCCCAAAGATCCCACAAGAAAAACAATACAAATTTCTACAAACAAGACAAAGAAGGAAAGCTGTAATGCGGGACATTTAGTGAATCTCAGGAAGCTAGTTTCGTTCTCTCTGGTCTGATCGATTCTGAACATGTCCAGATGAATTCTGTTTAAGAAAATAAAAGCAAATTAAACATAATGATATATTTCAGATCCCATCTGTGTAATTTATATGAATGTTTTCTCATCTTCATTACTTTACAAGGCCAATAATGTAATCTCTAGATTCTATTATTTATTTATTAATCTACTTATTTATTTATGTATTTTTATAGAGCATGTACTCTGTGTCAGTCGAACAGTAAAGAATTTGTTGTTTTCAAAACCTGACTTTGTTTTATTTACAGTATCACAGGGAACATAATCAAATAGCCAGACATGCAAGTGTAAGGGCATTATTTATAAATTAATCAAATAACAAAACACACAAGTGTAAAGAATAATAAATGCATTAAAAATACATATGAGAGAAAAGTGGGTCTCCAATAAGTAAAATAGCTGTCTAGTGAATGATAAAAGAAGCTTTCTTTTATTGTCAATACTCTTTTGAATACATAATCACCTATTTCTTCTACAAAGCATACTTTCGAGAAAGCTTTCAATCTTTATCATATAGAGAGGAAGACTGAGGTAGAAAAACTTTGAGTAACCTATCTACTGAAACTGATGCCAAACTTTAAGCCCTTAACTCAGCTGATTGATTGAGGTCCATACAACATAGTTAACCTTATTCAACATGTTGAATTTACCAAACACTATAAAATAGAGTTTTTTTTCCACCATGCATGCATGACATCAGATTAGCAACATTTTTGGAAGATGCAGAGAGGTGGTACTCACCATGATTTTACCCTTCAGCAAATTATTAGAGATGTATAGTTTAGTATTTTATATATTTCTATATGTCTTTGTAAGTAGCAGGAAAAAGTAATTGAAGCTATGCATGTTTGAACACACTTCTGAAGGATGTGGTTTAAATGAACAATTAATCTGTGAGTCTCTATTACTCATTTTTAAATGGGGGATTATGATACTGAAGAACTGACCTGGAGGGCCCCTCTAACCACTTTTGGTTACACAATGGAGAAGGAGAACCCAAGTCCACATCAGCCTAAGGCTGATCGTACTCTCCATCTTTTACCTATGGCACTCAACTGGTTGAGTCCGACCATTGTTGTGATGGCCACGCAGATCTCATAGACAAAACTGATGATGACTGGGGTTTATTAGGGAAAATAACAGGTCACTAAAAGTCAAGATCAGAAAAGCTTCAGGATAGCCTATGATCTGCAGCAGTGCCTCTGCTCAGCCAAGAGGAGCTACATCTCTCTGCCCCCCAGTCTCTCAGTCACTCAATCTCTGAGCCAGGCAGCTAGTTTGTGGCTCTGCCTCCCTGTTTCATGGTCTCACTGGCTTGCCTACTTTACGCTGTTTCCTGGAATCCATGTTTCGACCTCTGCTGCCTCTGTATCTCCAAGCTGCTCCTTTAATGGCTATTTTTTCTTTGACAGTCCTGTATATTCTCTCTGTTCTTGCTTCTGAGATGACTCTCTTAAATCTAGAGGAGTGTCAAAACTGACCAATGCCAGAGTTAGAGTCTTCTCCATCTTATTTGCATCATCCCAACCAATCATTTGGTGGAGTTACAGATTTTAAGAAGAGACCCCTAAATCATAATGTCTCCTCATATTATATTATGTTACATTGCATTATATTAATATATCAAGAGTTATATTAATAAATTTTACTTCAACACATATACTGAACTCAGTGTTAGGGAGATTAAGTCAACAACTTATATTGAAAGAGTCTCTGAACTTGAGTAAACATTATTATTCCTTTTTTTGTGATTGAGTGTGTCTAAACCATCTTCAGATACCAGAGGCACCAAAATAATTTCATTATCTGATATATGAATAAAAGTCTTAGGCTCATGGCATTACCACCACATGTACAATTTGACTGAAATATATATGTATATATATATTACATTTTCATATATATGTAGTGTCTATTTTTAGGGGGGGGAATTATGATTTAGCAGTCTCTTCTTAAAATCTCAATTGAGTGCCCCTTGTTATTAACAAGAAAATGTTCCCTTAAATTTAGGTTAAAATCAGTCTTGAGAAATAGTATATTAATTCAATAAATGTTTTATGTGTATATACTTATTTTATGCCAAGATAGTGGCATATAAACAAATAAATAGACTCCCATTAAGATAATGGGAGAACATAATAAGGAATAAAACTAATTGAATGAAAAACGGATGCTCTGTAAATTTTCACCATACTGACAATAATGATGTCATTACAGACAGCCATTAAATTCATGAGAGCACTTAGTAAACTCTCTCTTTTATTATTATCTTGAAGTTTTTTTTGCTTGGGAAAGTAACTATGGATTCCATATTACTCGAGTCAGTATTTTAGAGTATTATTGTGTTATAGCTAAAGAACATATAATCTTTGGGCGATTTGTTGGTGAAGTCAAAGATTTTTTGTTTATTCTAAAATGACATACTTTTATATTTTATATTTATGTCTCATTTGCTTTCAAAATGGCCATACTTTTAATTCTCAATGCTAAAATTATGATTATTTGGCATTACAGTTGTGCTAAGCTACAAAGATAAAGGTGTATCCAGGGTTCAGAAAGTTGTCATCATAAGGGTACTGGGAATGTATAATTAAATATATGTGTGTGTGTCAATACTAATACAACAACCTCATTATTGATGGTAAAGCTTATAATAGTAGATATCTGGTGTGTGTGTGTATACCATAATTTATAGACCATCTGACTTCCAAAAGGAAAAATCATTTAAATAACAAAGACTAGTTCTACAACACTGTTGAAATAATTGACAGGACATTATCCAATGAATTAATGTGCAAATCTTACCCTATAGAAAATATTGAGGACAAAGCAACTCAAAACCAGAAAGAAAACTATGTAATACAAGTAGGGAAAATGTATCAATTAGGGACATTGGTTAATGACAGTTCTGTGGCTTTTCCTTTTCTTTGAATGTGGCATCTGCATATATGATTACAAATTCGTTTTGACACTTAATTTGCTCAGACAGTATGAATGGTTTTAAACTACTGAGCTTTCAGTTAGTGACCAAGCACATAACTGCAGTACCAGCATTCCTTACATATCAGTTCTAACACTTCTCTCGTTCAGACAATGCTTATATTGATTCAACATCGTTTTAGAACATGGGTGGGACTTGGTAGATACAAATGTGAAGAAGCTCTGGTTTTGAACAATCCCACTGTCCATTTAGAAACTCTAGTGGTGCTGAAATTAAGAGCTTTGCAACTAACTAAAAATTTGAGATTTAAACCTGCCAGCACGTTTGCTGGATAAAGATGAGGCAATCTGCTCTTGCAAAGATTAAATTCAATCCTGGAACACCGCAACCCCCACCCCCCACCCCTGGGACAGCCCTACGCATTCTTATGGGCTCACAATGGAGCCCCATGAGCCAGAATTCACTCAAGCAGCAAGTTAGGTTTAGTTTTTATTTGCTAAAATGAATATGCCTCTTTCCTCTGTTGCCTCAACCCTTTCATGTGCTTATGTTACAGCATTAAAGATTTGTATTTTATTTTTCTCTTTACATTTTCATCTTAGCTACAATACTATAGAATCCTAGAGCCACATTCTGTGTACTAGGGGCACTACCAAGCTTAAGGTCGATAATCAGTGAGAGTTCAGCCACTCATGTCATGAAGCTTGAGAGTCACTGGATATGTTATACCCTAAAATAGTAACTGGTTATTTGGTTTATTTAATGTCCAACTCTACAAATATCAAATATCTATCCCATCCTGAAAAATAGACTAGTAGGAAAGAGGACTACAGAACCAAAGAGTATGAATATCATTGATAAGCTCTACAAATTACAATTCCCTCTGAGGCCAACCATGCATGTCTGCAAGAGCAACTCACTGCTGATTTTAGGAGTCAAGAATCTAAAAACAGTGTTAGGAAGTTCTAATTCCAGTTTCCTGCTGTGGTGGGAAAGGAAGATGTCCCGGAGAGTGCCTCTCGTACATGGGAAGAACTACTCGGATGACAGGCTTGCTACTAAGAGCTTCTTTTTCCGACGGATGATAGCAAGTCTCATGAGCAGTCATGGTCACGTTTTTCTAAATCATGGTCAGAAGACCCTGCATAGCAAATGCTATTGAATCATAAACCGCTACAATTCAACTTACTACTATCAACAGGTGCATTAACAATTTTGTGTAGACATGCATACTCATATATTTATTTGTAGATCTATGTAACACTCTAGAAAACAAGCAATGACCAAAAAACCCCAAAACAACCCTGTTAATAGTGGTAAACTTTGGGAAGTGAGATTAAGAGATCAGAAGGAAAGAAGGAAAAATAAAAACATTTTAAAACTTTTCAAACATTTTATTGTCTTCCAAAGAAATCAAAGGCTTTCCTAGGAGAAAATATATTGTTTTATATGGCAACTGTAGGATAAGTATTATCACCCTCTTCCCTCCCACATAGGCCCTCTGACCTCACATGTAAAACTATATATCTTCTGTTTCTGTGTCCTTTATGTTGTTACTCTATTATAACTTCTCTTGGTAGATTCAGAGTTGACGTTACCATAAAGCTGTGAAACTTGGATCCGGTACTTTGGGGGTGGATTAGGGGGTGGGGTGAGATACCGTTTATTTGATTTACAACAAAAGGTACACTGCAATTTTACTTTGAAAGCACATTTCTTCTGATCAATTTTCGAAAAGCTTCCTTTACATCCTTGTTCCTCAGACTATAAATAATAGGGTTCAACATAGGGCTTACAAAGGTATAGAAAACAGCAATGATTTTGGACTGCTCCACCGACTTGTCTGTGGGAGGTCTAACGTACATGCAGAACAGAGTCCCATAAAATACTGTCACCGCCACCAGGTGGGATCCACAGGTGGAAAAAGCCTTGCGCCTGCCTTCGGCGGAGCGCATCCTCAAGATGGCGATGAGAATGAAGATATAGGAAATGAGGATTATAAGGAGGGAGTTGGAGAGGTTAAAACCTGCTACCACAAACATGGAGGTTTCCTTAATGAAAGTGTCGGAGCAGGAGAGTCGAATGAGGGGTGGGTCAGCACAATAGAAGTGGTTAATGATGTTGGAGTCACAGAAGGTCAAGCGGTAAGTCCACATAGTTTCCATAAAGCCACTAAGAAACCCATAGATGTATGGACCAGAAATCAGGCGAATACAGACCCCTTTGGACATCTTACTGCTGTAAAGTAACGGGTTACAAATGGCCACGTATCGATCATAGGCCATTACAGCCAGCATATAATATTCAGTAATCACCATAGCAATGAAAAAATAACACTGGACTAAACAGGCAGCATAGGAGATGGTTTTCTTCTCTGAAAGGAAGTTGACCAACATTTTGGGAGTCACATTAGTAGAATAGCACAAATCCAAGCAGGACAAGCTGGCAAGAAAGAAGTACATGGGGGTGTGAAGTCGTGAATCTATCCTGATCAAGACCATCATCCCAAGGTTCCCTCCCACAGTGATCAAGTAGATCACCAGGAACAGCACAAAGAGGATAGGCTGAAGCTCTGGACGATCCGTTAATCCCAACAGAATAAATTCAGTCACCAAGGTGTAATTTCCTCTGGCCATTTTCTTAGATACCAGCATTGTTCACTTAAGAATTAAAATAAATTGAAAAAGTGCATGAGAAATCCATCATATGATTCTCCCCTCTAGTTTCTTCTCTGTTTATCTTCCTCTGCTATTCATACTCACATGCAACTACTACTAGAGATAGCTCGAGAAAATATGATTTGATAGTCTCCAGAAATATGATTAGCTAGGTGTACTATGTGAAAATGGTTCCTAAATAGAGTGGGTCCTAAGCAACCAAGTTGTTTTGGAGTTTGGGGAATTATGACCTGAAGGCTGTATACAAATAGAGCAAACCAACAACTTCAAGATGTAGTACACTACGAGATCATTGTGCATTGAGGCCAAAACTTATTTTAGCCCAGCAGCTGTCCTGGGCAACATAGTGATGTGTTTGAAAGCATGTTTGTGGTCTATGAGAATGTGTGCAGAGTCAAGAAAAAGACCCATTAGAAGCTCCACTATTGAAAATCACACAGCTTACATGCTACGTTAGAGAGTCCATAATTGGAGAGTCCATAATTGGGGCATTTTTAGGGAAATTATCCATAACCAATTTTACCATTCCAGGATTCATCATAAAGTGCATTTTACGGGAATAGACCATAAATTTTTTTAAAAGGCATACATGAATTACTGATGAAGAAACTTTTCAGGAAGAAGAGTATGTATAAATAAAACAAGGATAATATGTATAGGGGAAAAGAGAGTTCCCCAAATGCATACCATAATGTGTTTTAAATCATACTTTGTATATCATTGTTCTCTTCATTTATCCCAGAACACATTTAAGAAGCTACCTGTAAAAGAAAGCTTTGCAAATCTATGTTGATGGTGTAACACAAATATTCTTCCTAGTACTCAGTCACTGCCGTGGAGTTGATGGTGACTTATATAGGCCCCATAGGAGAAGATAGAACTGTCCTTATTGGTTACCCAGACTAACTCTTTATGAGAGTAGAAAGGTCTCTCTTTCTCCAGTGGAATTACAGTTAGTTTTGAAATGCTGACCCTGCAGAACAATGCCAAGCATGTAACTATTACACCACCAGCCTTCTTCATTATAAAATCATATTGCTCAAAGGTTATAGAATATGTTTTGATTTACTCATTTTACAGAATTCATACTATGCTAATAGTAATAGACATGCTATATTTCCAGATAGTATTTTAAGTTCAGATACTTTTGACTATAATTAAAAGGTAAAATTAAACATTTTTTTTGCCAAGAGCCTGGAGGGTTTTTATAATATGGAGTTTTAGTCATATCAGGTGCTACTCTACAATTACTAATAAAGAAGATAAAGAATCACAAACTCAAGTGATTATGGCAGCCATCTAAGCAATAGAAGTACATGGTGTGGACTGGGCATAGAAACGAGCTAAGGAAAACTGAAGATGATTCTAGACAAAATCTTCAGTAGACACTCAAGTCAACTGAATCCTTGCCATAAGGCAATGAGGGTCCTTTGGTTCAAGATTTTTAGTGCCCCCAATCTTGAAGAGGCAATATTTGTATGTGAAGTATTCTGAATATAAAATGTTGACAATTAATGTAATATCTAATGTCATTTTATTTAACAAAGAAAAGCTATAGAGTTGATCCTCTGAGCTGGGAATAATAATTCTGTGTGATTTCCATGTCAAGGCACCTACCCTTCCAGTGTATCCATGTTCCTTGTAACTAAGTACTCTTTCTCACAACTAAGTATTCTTAACTACTTTGATTCTGTGATTATATCAGGATTCTACAGACATACCTCAGTCTATTCAGCTTCAAATTATTATGCTTCAAAAATAGTGAATTTTTTTTACTTTTAAAAGTGAAGGTTTGGCCAACCCTAGATTCAATATTTCAAACTTATTCAGATGCTGTGGCATACTTTTGTAATATATATATATA